AGGGAAGGGAAGGGAAGGGAAGGGAAGGGAAGGGAAGGGAAGGGAAGGGAAATCATCATCACAGCAGCTTCAGAGGGACTGTAAACATTGGAATCCACTGAGAAATTTTATGCATTCCATAAATTTCATTCCCAAATTCTATTCTATCAATTCTGTGGAATACTATCGATAAATATTGATTCTATACACTTTATTCCTCAATTATATCCCTTAATGAGATTCCTAAAAAATACAGCCATAATCTGCTTGACTTGAGCTGTGCTGTGGTGCAAATCTGCCTCAAGGACAGAAGGACCCAATTAGAAATTGGTGCCCACATTAATTAATTCTCCACACCAATTAATATGCCCAAATAAATACTAATAAATAAATTAAAATTAAATTAAAATAAATAAACAAATAAAATTCTCCCAAATTCTCCCCTGTGCATGTCCCCTGTCTTGCTCAGTGTTTGAAGACTCAAAAGTGTAAAGGATGAAGTTTATTTTAACTTTTATATTACAAAAATTAAGAAAAAGAAAAGATCTTAACAACCCAGTTTATTCCTTGATAAAGATGCCAAAAAATAAAATAAAAATAAAAATTCTGGAAAAGAACAGCTTGGAATTTTGGGGTTTTTTTTTGACTGATCTGAATTTTTTGTTAAGAATAGAGAAGAAACATTATCACGGCGAATAAAGAAAATTCCAAGTAATGTTTGTAGAATATAAATATGTGTTGCACAGGACCGTGTGCTGGGAATCCTGGATTTTCCTGTCGGCTATTCCCACCTCCTGGAAATGGGATTTTGACTCAGAAAATCAATTCCCTGCCAAAATGCCGTGGAAAAAAATGCACTCCTGCCTTCAGATCCTGCAATCTCATTACCTTAGGGGCAGGGGATGACTGATCCTGTCAACAAGATGTTATTTAAGGACTAAAAATAATTTTTAGAGGACTAAAAATAATTTGGGAGCAGCTGTGAGGGTGGGGCAGTGTCTGGAGCAGACAAAGGCAGACCCAGCCCCTCCTTGCTGATGTTGACCCACCCAGTTTTACCTTCCCCATAAAAATATTTGGGAATTTGGTGGGAAGGACTCGTGGGAAGGGCGCTGGGCTCAGAAATCACAGCTCCTGGTCAGAGAGGCATCCTTGGACTGTCCTTGAAGCATTTTCCTGGAAAAAAGAGAGGGCAGGAATTCCCTGCCCCCTGCACAGACATGGGGGTTCCACGTGGCAGAATGTGGCCCTCCATTCAAAACCTAATTAACTTCATTCACTCTAATTTACTATTTATTCTAATTGGGCCAATTGACTTTAATTTATTCCAAACGAAGAGCGAGCCTGGTCACATTTTCTGCTTTCCATGATTAGCAACAAACTCCAAACCCTCCAAGGTTTTCTCGTTCACCCTGGAGCCAGTGGATGCCCTCTTAATTAGGTGTTTATTCTTAATTTGGCTGAGCTGGGAGCTCCATCTAATAACCCCTTTTTTACATCTTCATTGTTGGCTGTAATATTCTTTATTCTCACCTACACTCTGCACTTGGACCATTGATCTGTTTGAGGGTTTTGTTTTAATTTGACTCGGTGTTTGCTCGCCTTGGGCATTTATTCTTTCATCCTGGGCTATTCCTCTTCTAAGGATTTGCTGAAAGATTTGCACATTAAACCTCTTTATTTAGACTTGATTAAATAGGAGCCTTTTCAAAGGTCTTTCATTTCAACCAGGTTTCCCAATGCTACCTTTAATAAGGAATGGAAATTAATTTCAGGTTATTCCTAGAGAATTAATTATATATTTTTTTTTTTTAATTTTTTCTTAGGTATCAGCCTGGTTTAACCTCGGTTTTATTGTTTTTAGAGCTGTGCTCATTTATGGCTGGCAAAATGGAGTCGCCATCCCTGGAGGGACTAAAAATCCCTGTGGAAGTGACACTTGGGGACAGGGATCAGTGCTGGCCTTGGCAGTGCTGGGAATGGTTGGACCTGATGATCTTCAAGATCTTTTCCAACTTCAACAATTCCGTGATTCTCCCATTTTTTTATCACTTAAATGCTTCCTGATTGGGGTTGCCAGTTAATTAACTTCAGAATTCACATAACTTTCCTAAAACCCAGGGAAAGAAAACCAACTTCACTTATTTTTTACTCTGAGCCGAGAGTAAAAACTTCACTTCTGGCCTGGCAATGAAACAACTTGAAATTGGGAAGTGGTGGCAGGCTGAACCCGCGTGAGGACACCGATCCCCAGAGAGCGCAAACTGTAAGCCAGAGGCTGAATAATGATATTAAATAACGATATTTTCTGCCCTCCAACAGTGCCAGAATCAATTTCCTCGCACGCAAGGCTGTATTTGGGTCAGGAGGATGCCTCCCCATCTGGGAGACAATGCCTCTCTTTTTTTGTAACCCTTTTTCAGCCCGCCTGCCGTGGCTCAGGGAACACCAGGGCCGCTCCCAGAACCCCGACACACTCGTCGGCACGGCCTGCTCCCGGCGGTTATTTGTCTCCAGAGCCACAAAACCCATGGAGCTTTCTGGAATGACTTCCCTGGGCTCCTTTCATGGGAGGATGCTCCATTTTAGCAGCCCTGAGCACAAAGAGCCCTCAGTGTTAAGATTTGGGGCTGTTCCGCTGGGGCTCAGGGCACGGAGAATGAGCGGACATCGAACCGCGGCCATCCAGGGCTGTGGAATTTTGGGATAAAAGTCATAAAAGAAGTGTGGCAGCACTTTATAAAAAGGATGGAAAGGGGTTTTTGGGATAGCAAGGAGAGGGAGGAGCAGATGAATAACAGGGTCACTCTCTGCACTGACAGCGCTGTCCCTCTCCCACCTGCAGCGATGTCTGGGATGCCACGGGGGGCTTTGTGTCCTCCTCCTGCCCAGGTGTCCTCCCTGAGACTTCCCCGAGGGAAAAACTCGGAGCTCAAACATCCCTGGGGGTGCCTGACACCGCCCCAGGTGCTGGAATCACACGCTGGTGACACTTGCCAGGGATTTCACCTTCCGGAGCTGAGCGGATCCACGACCTCCTCTCCTCTTCCTCTCAGCCGCCTGCCGGCTCAGGTCCGGGGTGTGCCCTCCTCCCTTCCTCCTGCTGCAGAGCAGAACACAAGGATATCAATAAATGTATTTAATTTATCGGTAATGATTGATTGTTAATGTATTTAATTTATTGATAATAAATGCCCTGCTCTTGCAGCCCTGCGGGGTGATAAAAACCAAATCCTTTGGGATATTGCCACCTGAAAATTGTGGTTCGAGATAACAAATTTTTATCTTGCCCCAAAGAGCACAGTCGGCTACCAGCGCTCAGGGGAAGGTGGGAACTTGATTTTTTTAATGTCTTTTTTTTTTTTTAAGTTGTGATAAATTCTTGATTTAAGCTAAGTCCACCTAAGATGTTACAGCTCCTTAAGGAAATTCACAGAAAAGAAGTTGAGCTGAATCCATTTGGGAGTTTTCAGTGAAGTCTGTGTGGCCTGAAGTGTAAAAAAGGCTGGGGGCCGCCCCTCCAGCAAGGTTTTTATTCGGTGTTTTTGTAGCCAAATCGTTCCATACCTGTATTTCCATATTTTTGGTATTATGTGCAGCTGCTATTAAACCCAACACAATTAACTGGCAGAACGGGAACATTCCAGAGTGTGAAAATTAAGTGAATTGCGCTGGAATGTGGCCGGTTGCCACTTTTTTTTTTTATTCCAATATCAGGAGTAAAATCCAGACTCTGAGGCAGTTTTTTTCTAAGCACTCAGGCAGGTTCATTATCCCAAGGCGCTCATTCCACATTCAAATTCCGCGATATGTAATCTGGGAATTTTAAGCAGAAGCTCTGAGTGGTTCTCCCAGTGTCTCTGGGCTGCTAAAAAAGCACAGCAGGAATACAAAACCATGGAGATGAAGGGTGGATCTGGACTCTAAAAGCAGCTTTTATCCCATAAAAAACCAGGATCACACCACGTAACACACACGCAGCACCAGCACGTGTCCAGGATTCCCTCATCCCAAGCCAGGATAGTAAAGTCAAATCCAGCATTATTTCAAATCGGAAATTGAGGAAAACCGCAACCTGTCCATAAACACAAACAAGCCAAGGGAGAAAATTCAACCCAAAATATTCCAGCTGGGAATTAATCAGTCATTTTGCTGGACCTGGCAGTGTCCAGGTTATGGCTGGAGTCGGTGATCTTATAGGTGTTTTCCATCCTGAATGATGCTGTGACCTTTGGGCAGGAGGCAGTAACTGTAAATACTGTGACTGTAAATATTTTTGTAAACTATTACTGTAAAATAATACTGTAAATTATTACTGTAAATTATTACTGCAAATTATTACTGTAAAATATTACTGTAAATTTTGGTATCTGCTGCTGTGTTCTGGTGTCCAAAACGTGGTGTCAGCTCACCCCCACAACCCCAGCTCCGGCTCAGGAAAACAGAAGGAGCGAGGACGAGGAAAAAGGACAGCAGGTCTCACCCCCAGTGCTGAACTCGCTGTTTCTCACCCCGTTTTCCTCCTTCAGGGGATTTTTCTGATTCCCACATGCCCAGGGGGAGCTGGGCTGGCTTTTCAGCAGCCTCAAAAGGGAGAGGGGAGCGTGGGGATCCGGGAGGACGGGGCCGCTCCGAGCCCTTCTCACGCAAGCGAGCCCCTCTTTGTCAGAAACGGGGCCTGGGCCGCTGGCAGAACAATTACTGAAAGTAATTATTTCCTCGTCGGGTAAACACTCCGGGACAATATGCAACTGTTTTTTAGAGCCAGCCCATGGCCATAAATTACATAAATTACCCAAGGCTGGGGATGGGGGGAAGGAGCCAGGGCTGTTGTCGTGAGAAGTAGCAGGGCCCTGTCTTGAGGCGCGAGGCCGCGCTCTTGGCGGGGCTCCAGCGCTCGGATGGAATCGGAATTCATTATTCACCATGGAGTGGGAGGCAAATCTTTTGATTTATTGGCAACCAGCAGATGCCTTCCAGCAGAACTGCGCACACAGGGCCTGACAGAAATGCCCTCCCAGCCTCTGTAGGCAGATCAGAGCCCCACAGAAAAACCTCCTAACTCGACTCCACGCTTTAGATAAAAATCTTTCACTTCCCCTTTGCAATATTTCTTTGTGCCCAGAGAGGCAAATCCTTCCTTGATTATCTCTGGAGGATTGTTGTTTGTTTTGATTTTTTTTAGTCTAATAACAAAAAGCTGCTTGGACAATTCAGGCAGAAAACAAACCAGACCTACCAGAATTTAGTAATTTTTGCGATTTATCGCTGTGATAAATTACAACACCGATAGTCACAGCTATAATTCTATTGAGGGGTTTTGATAACCCCTTCCAGGCAATTTGTAACTCAGCCCTGTCTGTATCTCTTCTCTATCACCTCACCACTCCCTTGGCTGCACAGCTGATCGTTGCTATTCTTAATTTCCCTGCTCAGTGACTGAGAAGCTTTTCCCACACTGTTCCAACTAAACCCAAAGCCTCCCAGGGAATTCACTGTGGGATCTCTGTCCCATCCCCTTCACGCTGCCAGGGGGGTTTGCACTGAGCTCCTGGGCACAGTTTTTAGGGTACAAACTCCTGCCTTTCTGAGCAGAGAACAAAGAAATCCATCAGAAACAAAAAAATAAGTTTCAGTGATCATCCAGATTGCAAACGAACCCCATTTTTTGGGCACTCCCCGGCTGTGGCGCAGTTTAATTGTTCTCCCCAGTGAGCACTGGCCTCGCCCAGCTGCTGTCTGGAAATGTATTGATCTGTTTTTCAAAGCCAAAGAGCCAATTATGGTCTCATAGGATGCAGAATATGTTTGGTTTTTCCACTTAGAGGACTCCATTCCCGCTGCACTGCCTGAGAATTGACTGTAGCTCGTTCTGCTTCCCGTATTTCCCTTTTTCTGGCTAAGCAAGGATGAGTTCTCTGCTAGGAATTCTCAGCAGTGCTGTTTTGGTGCTGCTGTGGAAGGGAGAAGGCGGCTGATGACTCAAAAGAAACTGATGAAAACTCTTCAGCATCACAGATGACAAGAAGTGACTTTTTCCATGAGCAGTTTTAAACTAAAAGAGGAGAGATTTAGATTAAATATCAGGGGAAAATATCCTTCCCTGTGAGGGTGGAGAGTTCCTGGGCTGGAATTCTCAGAGAAGCTGTGGCTGCCCCTGGATCCCTGCAAGTGTCCAAGGCCAAGTTGGATGGGGCTTGGAGCAACCTGGGATAGTGGGAGGTGTCAGGGTTGGAACTGGATGAGTTTTAACATCTCTTTCCACCCAAACTGTTCTGGAATTCCACGAACTCTGCCATTTAAATGTCAATATTTCACCTTGATGCGATGAGCAGCAGAGTCCTCCCCTCCCTTTGGACCAGAAAAGAACTGCAGAGCGAGGTCAAGCTCCGAGGAGGTTTTAACCTGGCCCAAGAGTTAGGAAAAACTTGTTTTTGGTTGGTTGCCTCTTAAATTCTGCAAAATCCAACCTGAAATTAGGGAGATTAACTTGGAGTCAAGGTAGCAGCCGGTGACTCGTCTCACACGCTGCTTTGATGGTGGCGTCAGGTATTCCTTTGATCTGATCCTGTTTATTCACAAGGAATTCTCCACAGCTCCGGTTTTCCTCGGCACTCAAGTGGGGAAAAAAAAAGGCTTTGTTGGCTCAGGGATTTCCAGTTTCCCAGTCAAGGTGCTGGGCTAGAAGAGCTCCCTCCAGTCCTTTTCTCTCCACCATCACTTGGAGCTTCTGCGAGTTCTGCCGTGTCCTCTCCCACACGTTCGTGTCCTCAAGGAAAGCCTCACCTCAGGTCCTTTCCTCAGACTGCAGCAAAAACCATTTCCCCTCCCAGATCCCCTTTGGCAAACCCTGGGAAATCGCTCCTATTGTTTCAGGATCTCGTTTTACACGGATCTCGTTCCTCCTGACATCCATTTTACATGAGGAGAGGTTGTTTTGCCCTTGAGCTCCGGGAATCTGGTTCATCTGAAGGAGAACCTGAAATTGCCGGCGGGGCGGGAGATTTTTATCTTGGGATTCTCTTCTGCCTTCCAAGCTGAGCCCTGGTCAGGTTTGGAGTCCTGGGAGACACCAAACCAAGGCTTGGCATCCCAGAGGGACACCAGGGCCACAGTGACGTTCTCCTGCCACCCCCACCAAAACCTGAGGGACAGAGGTGTCCCCCTGCTCCAGGGATCCAGCTGAAGAGCTGAATTCCCGTTCTGGAAAGGTGGAGAACACAACACAGAGCCTCAGCAGGAGGGTTTTTGGGAAGAGACAGCCAAGTGTCCATGGAAAAGAAGCACCAGAACACGGTTGTGGGAGTGGGAGGCTGGGTCAGCACCTGAAACGTGGCACCTGCGCTGCTGAATAATCAGCACAGATGAGCCTGAACACCAGCAATTACCTGCAGCTTAAGTGATATTAAAGGCAGATCCTTGATAAACTGGAGAATCTCACAGAATTCCTCTCTCTCCTCTCCATAATCCTCTGTAATTACGGATAAATGGCAGATTTGCAGGAACACTCGGCATTAAAATGTTCTCCACAGATGGAGAGAGGCTGGGATCTCGCTCGGGAGAGGCAAACAGGGAGTGGATTTATTATTTACTGTTTCTTTATTCCAGGTGAATTGTTTTCACCTGGTTCTCGGCCGCATCCACAGCTCGGCGTTGGGACAGGCCACTTTTAAACTCTTCAAACATGGCTTGTCTCGCTTTTTTGGTGGCACAGGAGAATCCTAAAGCTCACAGGGATGGCACAGGAGAACCCTAAACCTCACAGAAACCTCTGGGAGCTGCTACACAAAACCACTGAGCGCAGCTGGAAAATAACACCAGGATGTTCGTTTGCAGCAGGAAGCGTTTGGTGAAAACACTCAGTTAAAAGCCTCAAGGAACAACGACCCAAAAGTGGTGTTGGGGTTGGGCAACATCCCACAGAAAGAGGGTGAGGTGGAAACTGGGAAGCTCTTTGAAGTAGTGCAGTATCCAAGGAGCAGGGGACGCGGATTAAAACGTGAATCATAAAAGGCTTTCGCTCGGGGAGCTCTGTGGAACACCCCGGAGGAGCGGTGGGTCCGGCAGAGCTAATCACGCTGGGAAAGGGCTGCGAGAGTGCTTGGCCAAACAATCCCTGGCTGGGGTAATTCCTGGGCTGATTGTTCCCGGGTGCAGGGATAATCTTGGCTCTGTTGGATATTTACTCAAACGCAACCCGAGTGATTTCCGTCGTGGCTCCGGCGGTTCCCAGGGTTTTCGTTGGCACGGCGGAGAGGAATCGCCTGCTCCGGGCAGGCTCGGCGTGGCGAGTCCGTGGATTCCCACAGGATCCAGGGAATGGTCAAGAGGATCTGTTGCCTCTTTGCCAGGCTTGGGTTAATGACAGCATCACCCTTTCCACACCAGCTGGGCTGAGGTGACCCCCAGGAAGCGTCAGAGGTGGCGTTTCCAGGGATTCACACAAAAAAACCTCTTCCCACACCCTCCCTGGGCTTGTTAATGCACAGAAAACTGACCCTGGATCTAAGATTTGGAAAATCGCTGATGCCAGAGGTGGCAAAGGAAAACCTGTGGCAGTTCTAACACAGATCAATGTGCAAAACTCGGCTTTGGGAGGGAAATGCTGTTGTTTTTTATTTTTTCCATGTGGATAATCCTGGGAGCCCAGGAAATGATGGATCCCGGCAGTGCAGACACAAATGCCATTCATCACCTCCATGCTCTGACATCCTCTTACACCTGCCCTGCAATTCAATCATCCCAGCCTCCTGTCAGCCAGGAGATCCTCGGAGCGATAGAATTATATTTCATCACAATTCATTCATTCTTCCTCTGCCCTGCAAAACCCACACATTCCTCTCAGCCTGGCAGCTTGATTTTAAAAAAACTCTCCTGTTCCAGCTCTGAAACATCCCCCAGGAGTTCCAGCCTGACGAGCCGTGCAGAAATGACACAAAGCAGTGGCAGCTTTGGACCAAAACCGATCCCTCCACAAAAAAAAAAAAGCCAAAATAGCAGGAAAGCGGGTTTGCAACCAGAAAAAGCACTGTGAGCCTGCAGAGGACATGGGAAATCTTGTGCCAGGGGGAAAGGAAAAGAGGTGAAGCTCTTACGCCTGCCTGGCCTGCTCGATGGGGTCGTAGTTGTCCAGGTAGTTGTAGCGGATGGTGTCTGTGGGGTTCCTGTCGGATGAGCGCCAAGGAGGGAGAGCTTTTTTCCCCCTGGCTGTCCCCCGTCCTGCCACGGAAAGTTTCCTCTCTGGGATGTTGCTTTTTACCGGTTGCACATCGATAACGATGAACTCGTCCTTGGAAGGAGTCTAATTGGAGAGATGGAAAGAAGAAAGTAAGTTTTAGCCTATGAGGAGAATCAGATTGGGTTAAATTTTGAGTTATAATAATTGGGGATTAACTTAAAATTGGTCTTTGCAGGCTCCATTATGGTCAGTGGACAGAAAGAGGCACCTGGCAGCGCTTGTCACCACCCTATAATCCATATTAAGATGAGCTGAGTTGCTGTTGAGATGCATCAGCTTCTCTCTATCAACCACAGAGAGCCTGAGGGAGACTCTGCTCTAAATTAAAGAGCTGAGCTTTGAATTCAGGGCAGGAGGATCCCAAAAAGAGCAAGAGGCAGAGGGGCTGGGAGCCAGACCCCCCAGTTTTCCCAGTGGGGACAAACTCCCGTGGAGGAGGTGCCTGGAGAGGCTACCAGGAACAGAAACTAGACAGAGCTAGAGAAATAAAGTAGGTGTTTATTAAAAAAGCCTTCAAAGGATACCCCTTGGGCAGCACAAGAGCCCAGCCATGCCTCAGATGGACTCTGAGTCATGAGTTTCCACACTTCCATAAGTTTTGGCCCATTTCCATATTGGGGTTAACTGTCCAATTATTATTATTATTATTATCATTATTATTATTATTATTATTTTTATTATTATTATTCTTCATTAAGTCCCATCCTCCCAGTTTGCTCCCATAAATTCGCTGCTGTTTGTACTTTTTTGGGGCCTGAAGCTGTGATTGTGTCCCCAGTTCTGGGATTGTTTTGTCTGACTAAACCGGGAACTTGCTAACACTCAATCTGGAATTCAGAGTCACGCACCAGTGCAGAATCTGGGAAAGAGGAAAGGTGAAACTCCTGGCACGAGGCGGGGCCGTACCTTGGGCCTGGAGACACGCAGCTCCCTCACCATCTCGATGTAGTGTTTTTTCCAGACGCCCTGCTCGAAGGGCGTGGGGCAGAAGCTGATGAACCACCCGAAACGCAGGCACTTCAGCATCCACAGCTGATCCAGCTCCGACAGGTACTTCCAGTGCCAGCTCACCTGTGAATTCCCAGCCAGCTGAAAACCTTGGGGTTTAAAACACCCCAGATTTTGGATTTCTGTGCCAAGGATGTAATTCCCACCTATCCTTGAACGAATTAGATTCTTCTGCTCTGTTAATGCTCCATTCAAACCTTTGATTAAACCATTTAATCCTTTCAAGGCCTTCATGATGTGGGGCCCTCCCAACTCAAGATATTCTGTGATTCTAAGTAATTTTCTAACCTATTGTCTCCCTGCCTGAGCATGGAGAGTTTGAGTTGCATCCACATGAAATGCTGGAGAAAGTTACTAAAGCAAGGCTTAGCCAAGCTGAGATTATTATATAATCTTAAATAACATGGACTATTTCATTAGTGCAGCAATAATGTCACTGAAAATGAAACTTATTAATTTAAAACCACTTCGGGCAGCATCTCACAGCATTTTGTGGCATGCAAACAGATTTTTGGAGTCTTAATCATTTTGCTCCAAAGCCCATCTGTAATTTTCTGCTCCCCCACATCCAACACTTGACTCTCAGGCATTTTAAAGGTTCTGTTTTCCTTAAAGGATCAAGTGTAGTACTTCGCAAAAGCACAAGCCAATGTTTCTCAAAGAATTAATTTAAGGGCTCTGCACATAGTGCAAGGTGTTTCAGAGGAATCTAATTCTCAGGAAGTACCAGGCTTCCCTTCTAGGAATAATCAGCCTTGAAAATATCACTTTTAAAATGCTTTAGAACTGAGTATTTAAAATTATTCTTCACTTCCATGATTCTTAGCCAATCTGGCTTAATTTAGGATCTGAGGAACAAGCATCACTAAGCATTTGGCATGCCAAGTCAGAAGACCTTTTGTCCTCACCAAAAAAATCAGTATTTTCCTTTATTTATTTTTGGTTTTAAACTGCTTTGACCTGGCTTTCTGAACCCCAGGCAGGTGCTGGCTTTTTTTTACCTGTGCACATCGGCAGAGGCTCCGTGGGTCCAGGAAGGAAAAGATGTACAAGGACAGGACTCGAGGGAGCCTGGTGGTAAAATCGACGGCCTCGGTGGGGACTCGGGCCTCGAGCTGCTTGGCACAGAATTTCTGCTGGGACAGGGAGCAGCGTTCCAGCAGGTCCACCAGGATCCTCCTCCTCTGGCCATCTGTCCACTTGTCAAACTGGAAGGAAAAAAAAAAAAAATTTAAAAAAATTAAAAATGGGAGTTTGAAGTGCAGAGAAACCGGAGATTCAGCGTCTTAAAATAAAACGAGGCGAGGGAAATTGCACGAGCAGCAGCTTCTGACTCACTCAGAGGGAGCAGAGCGCTGGGAACAAATGGAATGGATGCATGAAAAGGAACTTTGAAGCCACAGAATGATTTGTAACCCTCAAAGGATGCAGGGAAGCCTAGGCCAGGACTCACTCACGTTCCTGGGACCGGCTCCGGGACTTGGCCTCCCTCACGGAAAGGAGGAGACTCAGATGGGTTTTTACAGGAGCAGGCCCCAAGGATGAATTCATTGTTGATTCCTTCTCCCCTGACACTTCCATGGCCCCCACCACTGCAATCTCAGAGCGCCTCACGGTTTGTAAAGTAATTTTTCCTCACAATCCCACTGCATTGGCCCACCACGAGAGGCGGAGCTGAGGGAAACCAACCGAGCTGCCGGCGCCTCGCGGGGGGAAAAATCCGCGGTGGCAGCAGAGTCACAAAGATTATAACACGGTTTATGGCAGGTACCTCAAGAGGAGGATGGAATCCGTGTGGGAGGAACTCAGGGCAGCAGGGATGGCTTTGCAGAGCTGAGCAAGCTGGGGTGGGAGGGAAGGTGGCGCAGGCCGGGGTTGGGAAGGGCCCTGTCAACAGCCATCTCCTGGGAGGAGATCGGCCTCATGCCCACAAGCCGCTGCCACCTGGCTCCAAACCTAAAAACCTGCAAGCACAGGTGCCAGCAGCCAGGAAAAGCCCTGGGATGGTGGAAGGAGCAGGAAAAGCCCTGGGATGGTGGAAGGAGCAGGAAAAGCCCTGGGATGGTGGAAGGAGCAGGAAAAGCCCCGGGATGGTGGAAGGAGCAGCGGGAATTCCCAGCGGGAACGGCAGGCACAGGGTGGGATGGTTGGGGGGGGCTCCCTCCCTGAGGGCTTTCCTGAGGGGGAATGTGTGTTTTTCTTCACCCTTTCTACCAGAGTGTGTGGTAAAAGGACAAGGGGAAGGGTTTTAAACTCCCAGAGGAGAGATGTAGATGGGATATTAGGGAGAAATCCTTCCCTGTGAGGATGGGGAGGCCCTGGAACGGAATTCCCAGAGAAGCTGTGGCTGCCCCATTCCTATGTAGTAAATATAATTGATTAGTGCTAACTTAATTGTAACTATTTGGAAAGTTATTATTAGAAGCAATCCAAAGAATCAGTGTTACAAGGCAGATGTACCCCTTTGCAGATGTTACGTGTTAAAATTGAGGTACAGGATGTAATTTGGAAGTGATGTCCCAAGACGAAAACGGCCTTGAGATGGACAAAATTAGAATGACTTTAGGCATAGAGCCTAAAAATTATTAAATATAAGACTAATTAGTAGACTTACATAACACAACGCTTAGTACACACATGCAAACCTGTGAGGCCATCCAAAGGACAACGAAGAAGAGGAGAAGCCTTCGTCAAAAGACCCCCAAAAGAAAACTAAAGACTGCCTAGCAACAAGTAAGGTATGCACCATGAAGAAAAGTGACATAAAGTCAAAAAAATCAGAAATAATCAGAAATAGGAGGAAACTTACGAGAAACATTAATGAATGTGTATAAGCATACAGTATATAAGCCTAGCTTGAAGTGCTTTGTTTTGTATGTGAGGTAGGGTGGGGAACCCACTCCGGACCCCGGTCGGTTTTGCTTATGCTTTAATCATACTTAATTAATGGAAAATTATATACATAAATTGTATTTTTTTGTTAAATTGTATTCTTGTACTAAACTGGTGTTAACTCAAAGGACCTAGTTGTCAAAATTCTAATTTCATTTATAGCACCTAGAATGTCCCAGGCCAGGTTGGAGCAACCTGGGATTGTGGAAGGTGTCCCTGCCGTGACAGGGGTTGGAATGGGATGAGCTTTAAAATCCCTTCCAACCCAATCTCTGGAATTCCATGAAACTCCTCCTCAGCACAGCAAGAGCAGCCTTGACCCAAACTCACCTCCTTTTCCCAGGGAGAAAAGGAAAATGGAAAGGTTTTCAAAGTTTTCAAAGGGGAAACAGAATTGTTTGGGGAATTCCTCTCCTTGGGGAATGCTGCTTTTCCCAGTTTGTTTCCTTCTCAGGGCTGGCCACTGTTCCCACCTCTCCACAACTCCCAACTTGCTCTCTGCAAGTCACATCTCTGCATTTAATCCTTGTCTGCATTTAACTTCAGGGACATTTAAGTCCTTCGTTAAATGTGACCTCCAAAAATTAAATAGAAATAGAAATATAATAGAAATATAAATGTTTAATATTAAAATAGTAAGGAAAAATCTTCTTAGAATATTTTTTTATTATTATAAGAGGCAAATAAATGGTTTCATGTCCAGTGTCCCTTCTTTTCCCTGTCAGAATGAAACAGATTAGAAATGCAGATTTTTAGGTTTTTTTCCTCAGCTTCCTCCTCACCCCAAATCTGTGCTCAAATGGAGGGCTGGCAGGATAATAATTTAAAATGCACTGTGCAGATGAAGGTAATTGAGAAACATTTTCTTTCCTGATCGTTTTGAAGAACTCCTTCTTTATTTATTTATTTTCCCTTGGATGAATTCCAGTGCTGGAGAATAAACTCCAGGAAGCAAATAGCTCTTTTCTTTCTCACAGACACTTCAGCAAGACCTTCAAGAAGGTCAGAGTGAAGAAAGTGTGGGATTGGCATTCCTGAGATCCTGGAGAGATGAAAAGCCAAATAGAAAAAGCTCCCTGTCTTTTCAGACACAGTGAATTAAGGAATATTCCCCTTTTTTTAAACCCTGTTTTTTCCATATAACTTTCAATTCTAATGATGCTCAGCAGGGTATTAAGGGAAAACTGAAGTAGAACCTGGGGATTTAGGACTTAGAAATGTTCCCTGAGAATAAAATCAGACAAAGATGTACCAGAGTGGCACAGAAGAGGTTTTGCCTGTCCCCTTCTCACATTCGGCTTGCAGTAAAAGGTTTTCTCTGTCACACGAAGGGGGAAAACTTCTGCTCCCCATCCATGATCCCAGCCCCATCCTCTGCTCGTTAAAACAATCCCCCATCACCAATTTGCGCTGTTAAATTTCCGTGTGAGCTCCGGAGACAAGAGAGTAACTGGCTCCCTCTCTTCCACATCAAGAGATTAAGTGAACCAGTCAAAACAAATCCAGCTTCACTTCCCAGCAGACTGGGAAGAGCTGCTCCTTGTTAACCCTTCCCACCCTGCCATGGGTTTCCCAGCGGGGGAATTCCTTATGTCATCCTCAGCCTGTATTTAAACTCCATTTAAACCAGTGCCGCAGCATCGGGAGCGCTGGGAACACCCAGCAGCAGCAGCAGCAGCAGCCAAGGAGTTAAATTGGCACGATTTGTCTCTTTTCCAGCATTAAGGAGCAGGTTTCCATCCCACATTTGGCTGCTTCCTCCACAGGTCCTCCCCTTGGATGTGATTTCAGCAGCCCAACCAGTCGGACTGGATTCCCCTGGCTTCTCCTTCCCTCTCCCCGCAGCTTTTCCCCTCGCCGGGGCCTTCCCCAGAACAATGTCACCGCGGGGATCGTGTGACATCGGGCCGTGCTGGATCGGTTTGCAATTAATCCATCAGGGCACACACACAAATAACGAAGCCTGGCATGGAGGGAGAGCCCGGAGAGGCCCCTGTGCTGCTGCTGGTTTTGCTGCCTCCAACTGCAGAGGGACACAACAACCCTCATCTCCAGCCCAGGCTGGGATCCCCGTGCTCGGCAAAAGCAGGAATGGATTCTCCAGAAGACAAACGATTTTCCCCTCCTGCCCCAGCCCTCCTCTCCCAGTCCTGCAGAGAGGATTTGCTGGAGACCCAGGAGCTGGGTGGGAAGGTGAGAAGCAGACAAGGCACCTGATATCCGTAAAATACCTGAATCCACCCAGCCAAATCCCAAATATCTCTGCTGCCAAGCAGCTCCTTGTCAGCTATTAGGAACTTTCCTCTGGGATCTGTTTGGTTTCACCTTTCCCTCTGTAGTTACAGAAAAACCCTGACGTTTTACAGGAGAATCGTGGAAAGACTTGGGTTGGAAGGACCTTAAAGCTCCAAGCCCTTCACCCAGGAGCTGACCCCATGGCAGGTGACAATGCAATGTTTCCTTCTTGTCACCAGGTCACTTTCCCTTCCTCAGAGTCTTCCCGGGAATCTCCTCTTGGAAGTGAGGCCTGGGATAATGGAAGGTTATGCCCATGGCAGGAGGTGGAATTATATGAGCTTTAAGGTCCCTTCCAACCCAAATATTTCTGTGATTCCCCTGTAAAAGGTTTAAAATAATAATAAACCCTGTCAGGATTATTTGTTTGATACAGTGCTAAAGGTGAAAACCAGGCCAGGGACAATCCTGCCACGGAAAGACCAATTATTATCAGCAAAATTAGGGGCGGTGTTCTTGTGCTAATTGCAACGTGAGCAGAGGTGGCCCCAAGAACGTGTTTGGTGGCCACCATCCTGGAAGGGCTCAGTTCCACACAGAGAGGTGACAGAAGGAAAAGCAGGAGTTTAAAACACAGAATCCCAGAATCATTCAGGTTGGGAAGGATCTCCAAGACCGTCCAGTCCCAACTGTGCCTGATCCTCACCTTGTCCCCAGCCCAGGGCTCTGAGCGCCCCATCCAGGCCTTGCTTGGACACCTCCAGGGATGGGGGCTCCAAACCTCCTTGAGCAGCCCCTTCCAAGGCCTGACCACCCTTTCCATGGAGAAATTCCTGCTGATATCCAACCTGAGCCTCCCCTGGCACAGCTTGAGGCCGTTCCCTCTTGTCCTGTCCTTTATTCCCTGGAAGCAAAGCCCAAATCCCGCCTGGCTGAGCCCTCCTGTCAGGTGCACAGAAACAGAAATTAAATCCCTTCAGGTCACCTCATTCCTCCTTTCTCAGCCTCTGTTTTATGGACCACAACACCCTGAAGGACATCAAAGGTGTCCTGTGGCACCAACGGGAAAAAATAACAAAATGAAAATGTAAATCCCTGGATACATGCAAGTAAAATCAGGAAGAATTAAACAAACAGTGAGCATCCCAAGTTTAATCCAATCTTTATTTGGAAAACCAAATAAAGGGAAACCGCTGTGGCAAGGCCACATGAGGCATTTCCTGTTCTGCTTTTCCAGGAGATTGGATGCTCCTTCCATGGAAAAAGTTGAGGGACACTGATCTGGTTCACCTCCCGCCCCAAGGCAGGATCTGCTCTCCCTAAACCATTCCTGGCAGTGTTCGTGTAACCTCAAAAGTCTCCAGATTCCACCCGTAACCCCCAGGCAAGCTATTCCAGCAGGGAATTATCTGCAGCACTGGATTTTGCTCGTGTCTAAATTGTGTCTCCATAACTGCAACGCAAACCCAGGATTTCCTCCCCGCTCCAGAGTGAGCACAGGGATCGGATCCCTCCCTTCCTCTTCTTTGACACCTTCTGTGTTATTAGAAGATGTTTTTATACCTCTTTTCCATCTTCCCTGAAGCACAGGGATGTTTTCCGTGTTTTCTGGACCTGCTCTCACCTCTGTCTTGTTCCCAAAACGCAGGGAGCAGAACCAGGAATGGTTTCTGCCTTTGGGATATTTCCCTTTATTTTAAGATGCTGTCGGTTTATATTCAGTTTGTGATCCACCCACATTCCCAGGAATTTTTTTTTCTGCAGAACTGCTGCATCCTTGGATTCTCTCAGATGCGAAGTTTTTGGGTGTCACTCTTTCATGCAGAACTTTTCCCTCGCCCTTTTCCGGCTGCTGACCTTTCCAACCTGACTTCCAAGCCCCAAAGTTCCAGAAAACACTCCAAGCCTGGCGTCATCTGCGGACAGAATCGGAGATTCATCAGGGTTGGCAAAGCTCTCCGACCATCGAGTCCAGCCACTGAATGAGGATTTGCTTCCCGTTCCATCATCTGGATATCCCTGAAAATGCCTGACAGGAGTTAGGACAGGCTTCATCCTTCCAATTCCAGAATAAATCCTTTACAGCCATGAAATCCAAGCTCCAGCAGCTCCATTTAGCCCACATTTCCCTCTTGGAGAAGGTCATGGGAACCAAGGTGGAAAATCCTGCCTGGAGCACTGAGATTTCTCCACGTGGTTCCTTTCACACAACCCTAGGCCTTGTAGGGACTTCAGAGCAGCTTTTGTGCTTTCTTTCCCTTGGAATGCTGGCTGGCAGGAGCACGAGGAGAGGCAGCTGTGAAGGAGCCTTCTGAGAGCTGCTGATTCAATGTCACGGGAAGGGTCGGAGATGTGACCTTTTGGAGATGATTCAGCAATTGTGAGACTGGTTGGAGGAAGGTTCTGCCCAGATTTTGGCATTTTTAAGACATCCAGCAATTTCTAAGAGGCAGGTTTTATGTTTTCCGCTTGCTGCCTATCCCACTAAAAGCTGCTTTTTGAACCATAATCAACTCAATTATTTAATTTCCTTGGTGTCCCTGAAATTCCTTATTATCGAAACACAACAAATTATGGAAAGATTATTTCCTATAAAGACAAATAATCCTTAAAACAAAAATATTTTCCTGTAAAGACCATCTGAGATGCAAAAAACATTTCATTAGTGACTTCATAAGCGTAAAGAATAATCAGTTCCAGCCCAAACCAATCTGTGTGTGCACTTGGTAGATAAAATGTCATTTATTACAGATTTTAAAGACCCTCCAGCAGGCCATGGCAACATCTGAACATCCAAGACTTTACAGACATTTCCTGGGTTGTTTTCATCTCATTTCAGCTCATTCCAAAGATGGAATATGATTTCGCAGCTTCAAAACTTACGGAATGTGGGAACTGAGGGAACTGACACTTTTGCTCTCCTCAAAAGCAGAGCAGTCACATCAGGGAAGCGAATCCCTTTTTCCAAAGAGGAGAAGTTTTACATTCCCATGAGATAGACTTCCAAAATCTGCCTGTAGCAAATGCTTTAAAATTTTTAATTTAAAATATTTAAAGAGAAAAGTTTACCCATTTCCCAAGCAGGGCTCTTCTTTCTTCAAATACCTGTAAAACACACAAAGAAAGAAAATTGAGTATTTAAAGGGGACTCAATATGTGCTGAAAAAAATCCAGCTCGGAAAACAATCCTCAAGCTATCAACGGAATTGCTGAATGGGAATTTTGGGAAAAAAAATTAAGGAGATCGTTTAATCCAAACTCCCTGTTAGGATCAGCTAAAGGAGTAGCTCAGGCATGTCCAAGAGTTTTGGGTATTTTAGTGGATGGAGATTCCAGAACCTCCCTGAACATCATGTTCTCCAATTCCTTGATTATTCCCGAGGCCCTGTGCGGGATTTATTCCATAAATCCACGTGTTTCTTGTGCTGAGGAGCCCAGAAATGGACCCAGCATTCCCGACCTTCCCTGTGGAGAGGGAAAGAATCCACATCCCTTCTCTTGCCACCTACACTCTTCCCTTGTCTGTTCCTTGGTGATCTTGTCGGGAATTTATCATCCTGAACCCTGCTGGATTCAGTGCCACATCCCTGGAAGTGTCCAAGGCCAGGCTGGACGGAGCTTGGAGCAACCCTGGGACAGTGGGAGGTTTCAGGGTTGGAACTGGATGAGCTTCAAGGTCCCTTCCAACACGAAATATCCAAAGATTAGGAGGCCACAACCTCTCTGAGAAATCTCTGCCAGGGCCTCCCCACCCTCACAGGAAGGATTCCTTCCCAAAATCCCATCTAAATCTCACCTTTCCCAGTGGGAAGCCATTCCCTGTGTCCTGTCCCTCCATCCCTTGTCCCCAGTCCCTCTCCAGCTCTCCTGGATCCCTTTTAGGCCCTGGAGGAGTCTCTGAGATCTTTCTGGATGTTTCTCTTCTCCAGGTGAGCACCCCCAAGCTCTCCCAGCCTGGATCCATGGGAATTCTTCTCTCCTGGACAACGCAGTGATGGGAGCTGCCCCAGAACTTCCCACCTCTTTATTTCAGAAATCCCGTTAATCCCGACTTGGAGGCACCGGATGCCTGAAATCCTGCATGGATTCAATCCCAACTCAGCAAAATCTCCAGGAACGGGGTAACAAGAGCAGCCTTTGCAGCGACAACTCCCACCGAGGACGATTCGTACCCAAATCCAGAGGAGGATTTCTGCTGTTGACCTGTATGCATAGGGAGCTGGACCCCAAAGCACCAACACGTGGCTCCCCACCACCACCAAACCTCCTTCAACCCTCGGCATGGTGACCTGGGAAGCGAGGGCATGTTGGAAATGATTTTTCCAGCAGCAGAGAGATCAAAGAGGCGGGGGGGAAAATACCTGGCTTATAACCGCACATAAAACGGCGATTAAACCGCGAGCAGGAAAACACGCGCCATCGCTATAAACTCCAGACGTGTTCTTGCTCTGGCAGCCTGCGGGGATGGTTCCTGCAGAGAAGGACATGATCAGTGCTGATGTCTGCTGCAGCAGCCGACAGCTCCAGCTCTGCCTCTCCCAGCAGGAGCGTCTCCGGCGAGGGCTGGGAAGTGACATGTCTTTTATTGGCGCGTCGACAGTTTTTATTTGCTTTATTTGGACGTTGGTAAAACGGAGGGGAAAAAGCACCCAAAAAACCCAACAAGCTGAACTTGGAAAAGGATCTGCCCTGAGGAAGCGATGAATAGTCAAAGATCTGAGTTTTTGGGGTGGAGAATTCCAGGCAGGAGGGAGGTGTTGATGGTCTTTGATCAAAGACAGACGCAGGTTTGCTTCCGGCGCTCTTGGAGACACATCTGAGCTGAGGCTCTCACAAAGTTCTGCCTCTCCAGGCACTTGGGAGCGTTAATTAGCAACAGAACAGCCCAAATTTGGTGTAATTATCAACCCCATGTCCTCTTCTCCTAGGCCTTGGAGCTACACCTGTGGAGTGCCTTGGATGCAGCTGGAGGCCCGGGATGATTTTGGGATCTGCTGTCTCACATCCATGGCTTCAGGGGGTTTAAAGATGCTCAAGTGGATGGAAAATCCCTCCATCCTTTGCTGCAAATGCCACTGAAGGCTCTTCTGCCTCAGACCTGAATTCCTGCCCAGCAGAAGGCAAATCCTCTCCAGAATTCCAGTCCTTCCCAGGATGGAGTCCGCAGAATGCTCCATCTCCTGCCACTGTTTCATCCTCCCCTGCAGCAGCCCCCTGGTGTATCCGGGATTTTATCCCTGGTTTTGTGACCCTGAACAATTTGGGATTTCCTCATTCTGCCTCCTTGGCTTTGGCCTGTCCCTGGTGGTGATCCTGCCTTTAAAGGAATCGTGGAATCATGGAATGGTTTGGGTTGGAAGGGACCTTAAAGCTCATCCAGTTCCAGCCCCGACACCTCCCACTATCCCAGCGTGCTCCAAACCCCATCCAGCCTGGGCTTGGACACTTCCAGGGATCCAGGGACATCGAACCCAGGAGGTTTCAGGAATCACAGAAGGGTTTGGGATGGAACAGACCCTAAGGATCGTCTCTTTCCAACCCCCTGAGAAATTGCAAATGTTAGGAAGAAATTCTTCCATGTGAGGGTGGCAAGGCCATGGAATGGAATTCCCAGAGAATTTGTGGCTGCCTCTGGATCCCTGGAACTGTCCAAGGCCAGGCTTCAGCCACCTGGGATAGTGAAAAGTGTCCCCACCCATGGCAGGGAAGGAACAAGATGGGATTTAGGTTTCTCCCAAACCAAACCATTCTGGAACTCTGTGGTGTTACTCCTACCACCTTTGAAAATCCAGGGAAATCTACAGGAAGTACCAATGGAGCACCCCCAGAATTACCCAAAATTTGTCAAGTAGTAAATTTATGACACCATAAATTCCCAGCTCCACTCCTGACCATGGAATTTTGACGCTTCTGCCTTGAACCAGCTCTGAATTCCCACCGCTCCCGCTCCTCATTCTCTGTTCCAACGGGTTCAATTCTCACACATCTCATCTCTCCCTGCTTTTTCCATCCCTTCCGTCTATAAATTCCCATCCCTCCCATCTATAAATTCCTCGTCACGCTGCCTCCCGGGAGTGCGGAGAGGAGCAGACACATGACTGTACAAAAATGGCACCTCGTCCTTCTCCAGCTCCCTATAAATACCTAACAGAACATCTCCTGATTCCGAACGTCAGAACTAATTTTGTTCCAGCTATTTTTAATTTTTTTTTAATTTTTTTTTTTTTTTTTCCACCGCAGAGCAAAGTAGGGCGATAAAAAAAGAAATTTTTTTTTGGCCAGGCCGGTGATTTAAAACCTGGATCAAGAAACAAGAAAATATCTTTTATTGTGAATTTCCGAGAATTTTCAAAGTTGGAAAAGACACTACCACATTCCCCATGTGCCAAAGTTATGCCAGGTTCATCCCAGGTATTTCATTTTAGAATATTCATTTCTGGGATTTTCTGGGATATTCTTGTATATTCCTCCCTACCTGGAATATCACCAAGCATTGGATTATTCAGCAATCCAATATTAATCCCTACAAGTTTTGCTGAGACTGCCGAAGGAGGAGAGAAGTTAAAAAAAAAAAAAAAGTGGGAAAAGGTGGGAAAATGTTTTGGTTTTTTTTTAATTTCTGGTTAGGTCATACTTTATTGCGATACAGCGATGCGTATCTGCAAAAATAATGTTGAAACATCAAAATGATTCAAAGGCTGGAGAATTTGCCAGATTGAAAGGACTTCAAAGAGCTCAATCTCTTCAGTTTATCAGAAATAAAATAAATTCAAGTGTTCACTTGAAGTGGGGTAAAAGTCCTTCCACAGGGAAAAAAAAAAGGATAGAGAGGAGTTTAATTAGGGAGCAAGGAAAAATCAAATTAATTTTAATGTCAGAGGTACCCGGACAGGAGACAAAGCTTCGTCTTTTTATGGCATAAGAAATAAATCAAGATAAAATTAATAGGAAAGTGGTGAAATTTTCATTTTTTAAGGAATGACAGTCCTCTGCCCCCCCAAAAAATACAATTTTGTGACTTTCAGCAAAAAAAAATCCACTTTTTTAAAAAAAAAAACAAATTAATTGGCAAAATAGCAGTATTTAAATCAAATACTTTAGTATTTAAAGTATTTAAGTATTTAATACTAAATAATAAATAAAATTAATTAATTATTAATATCAATTAAAATTGATAAATACTTTAAATAAGTAAAAATCTTTCTTTAAAATTATTTTAAAATTATTTTTAAATTATTTATATATATACACACATACATATATATACATATATATATAAATTACTTATTTTAATTAAATTAATTTAATTAAAGTAATTAAAAATTACTTTGAATCTTATTTAAAAATTACTTTAAATAAGTAAATCAGAATTTTCCATCTTTTCACGTTAGATTTTATCTATCTTTATATATCATGAAGAAACCGCCATACTTCCACCGGGGAACAAAACCTCCAAATTCTTATTTCATTTCCCATGACCTCCACAGGGGAAAATAAATTAAATTCCAGGTGGGATCAGGTGAAATTAATTAAATTTTCCTCGGGCTTGGGGATTTGTGAAATTGAGGATTTTGAGAAATCCTCAGTTTGGCTTGGCCTTGAGTGGCCGAACTGGGTTGACCTCCGTGAGTCTCTTCCGAGTTCAACAATTCCACGATTCCCTGATTTCCAGCTTATTTTTCCCCTTGGAACTTGCCTTGTCGTTCATGAGCTGGTGGTTCAGGGGAGTCCACGTGCTCAGCTGGAGCTTGGAGCCATCCGAATTTTTGGGAGGCGCAAATGCCATGGAGAGGGCGGATCCTCCCTGTCGCCACCGATGGCTACGAGACAGAACAAAGACGGGCGTTATTCCCCGCGCCGTTCCTTCGTTTTCCTGGAAATTTTAATTGGGAATCCAATGATTTCGTGGCATTTTGCGTGCAACCGTTTCGTAGCGCGTTTTTTTGGTGGAAAAAAGAATGATTTTAATGAGGATGAACGTAACGATTTCACAGAACAAAGGTGGACGTTATCCCTGTGCCATCCCTTCATTTTCCTGGGAAAAAATTATAATTTTAACAAGGAATCCAATGATTTTATAGCACAGAAATGACACAAAATGGAAAAATAATTTGAAATTCAGGTAGAGCGAGGCTTGTTATTTTGTGTAGCCACAATATCCATGAGATTAAAGTCCTGGAAGTGTCCAAGAGCCGGTGGGAAAGGGCTTGGAGCAACCTGAGATAGTGGAAGTCAAAATTCCTCTCTATTTCAATGGATTCATCTTCAAAAATCACTGCAGGATCTTTCTGGGCACATCAATTTAGTGCTAAATTTTTCCTTCCTTTCTTGTTATGATCTCAAAGAAATATATTTAAAAAAAATAAACAAAAAACCCCACAAAACAAGCAAATAAACAAACAAAAAAAATCCCCCAAAACAACAAACAAAAACCCAAACAAAAAACCACATGCACAAAAAATACCCTCAAACCCAAAAAAACTAAAACCACAAACAAAAACCACAGTCAACAACAACAACAAAACTACAAAAAAAACACAATCAACCAAAAAAACAAAAAAAAAATCCAGCCAAAAAACAAAATGAAAGAAAAACCTGTAAGATTTTAATCTCCGAGCTCAGGAAATAAATTAATAAGAAAAATCTGAATTTTTTTCTTAATTTTTTTTTTTTTTAAGAACCTTAAATAAAAAACTTCCCTCTCCAATTTTAACGTTGCCAGCAAAAGATGAAGGATTCAGCAAGGTTTCACATCCACCTTCTTGTGCAACAGAGTAGGATTTTTTGGGTGGATTTGGGATCATTCCCTGCCAAAAAAAAACCAAATCCAGGCACCTTTGTCCTGAAAAACTTCAGGATCTGGGAAAAGTCTGTGTGAAACTTCAGGATCTGGGAAAAGTGTCTGAAAATTCAAGATTAGGGAAAAGTCTGTGTGAAACTTCAGGATCTGGGAAAACTGTCCAAAAGTTCAGGATCTGGGAAAAGTGAAACTTCAGGACCTGGGAAAAGTATCTGAAACTTCAGGATGTGGAAAAAGTCTGTGAAACTTCAGGATCTGGGAAAAGTGAAAATTCAGGATCTGGGAAAAGTGTGTGTGAAACTTCAGGATCTGGGAAAAGTGTGTGTGAAACTTCAGGATCTGGGACAAGCATCTGAAACTTCATGATCTGAGAAAAGCGTGTGTGAAACTTCAGGATCTGGGAAATGTCTGTGTGAAACTTGAGGATCTGGGAAAATTCTGGGAGAAACTTCAGGATCTGGGAAATGTCTGTGAAACTTGAGGATCTGGGAAAATTTTGGGAGAAACTTCAGGATCTGGGAAAAGTGAAACTTGAGGATCTGGGAAAAGTCTGTGTGGAACTTCTGGATCTGGAAAAGGTGTGTGTGAAACTTCCTCATGGGGAGAAGTGGAGGGGCAGGCACGGATCTCCTCTCTCTCCAGGACCCCGGGAAGAGGTTAGAGATGTCTCAAAGGATGTGGAGGTTGGATTTTACAGAAAGGTTCTTCCTCCAGAGGGTGGTGGGGCACTGGAACAGGTCCCCAGGGAATGGTGGCGTTCCCAAGAGCTCCAGGATGGGAATTTTGGGCCATCTGTGCAGGGCCAGGGGTTGGATTTGATGATGTGGGTGGATCGTATGGAAAAGTCACATTTCATAATTCCACAATTCCATAAAGCTGCACAAGCCACGGAACTGCCTGGGTAGGACTGGATAACCGAGTGTTCGCTGGAATTCCTCAAAGCTGCACGTGCTGGGACTCAGTGCTCACTGAGGAATTCGTTCCCAGAATGGTTTGGGTGGGAAGGGACCTTAAAAATCACCCGGTGTCACCCCCTGCCATGGGCAGGGACAACTCTCACTGTCCCAGGCTGCTCCAAACCCCCTCCAGCATGGCCCTGGACACTTCCAGGGATCCAGGAACAGCCACAGCTTCTCTGGGGATTCTATTCCAGAGCCTCACCATCCTCACAGGAAGGAATTTCTTCCCCTAATTCCATCCTCTGGCAGTGGGAAGCCATTCCCTGTGTCCTGTCCCTCCATCCCTTGTCCCCAGTCCCTCTCCAGCTCTCCTGGAGCCCCTTTAGGCCCTGGAAGGGGCTCTGAGCTCTCCCTGGATCCTTCTCCAGGGGAACATTCCCAGCTCCAGCTCCAGAGCAGCCCCATGGAGAAGCAGCTGGAATGCTGAGCAGGGCTGGGATCCAGAGGCTGCTCAGCCAAGGCCTCACTTTTCTCCTGCAAGATTCATTATTTCGGGACTGGCTGCCCAAAATAACATTCCAGAGATTTCTCCGGCTCCTTCTTCCCACAGCCCGGGATGAAATCCGTCAGGCTCAGGTGATCCCAAAACATTCCAGCAGCGAGAGACAGGAGGGGAGGTTAACAAGTATCCAACCTTAAATAGACATCAGGAAAATGTTGGTTCGCTGCCCAAAGAGGAGAAGCTATTGACACTCAATGCCAAAAAAAAATAAAAGGAAATGTAGGAGCAGGTGGCAAGTATGGTAAATATCAGTGCAAAAGAGATTTGGGGAAAGAAACCCCAAGTTTTGTGCTTTTACACAGGGTTAAAAAGTGCAAAATTGCCAGAGTCCCTTGGAACAGTTAACAGTTGGGATGGGAGGATCCAAGAAATTTGGATATGGAGGAGACACAAAGTGTCACAGGGCAGGAGACAGGAATGGCACGATCCAACAGCAGGAAAAATTCACTTGGAAACCACTGGAAATACCCAGACTCATTCCAGTACAAGCTGGAATTTTAAAATGCTTTAAAATAGGAGTGATTCCATAGAAGAAAGCTCAACAATCCATAAAGACCATTAACCAGGGGCATTGGAATAATTTCCTTTACCTGGGCTAATCTCTGTTTCACCATACTCAAAACAGCTCCTGCAGAAGCAGAACCATTTTATTAATGATTTTTAATCATCTCTACAGAAATAAAACCTCGGTGGTGCACAGAGCCTGCTGCATGCTGAGGTTTAAGGATGTATTCCCCTAATCCCATCAATCCACGTGGCAACAAGCTCATAAATAAATTTAAAAATAAGTTTAAAAAAGTTTAGAATTTAACGGAACCAACCTCAAGTTAAAGCAGGAGAGTGATTTTGATTGTAAATTGTTATATCAAAATAAACAGTGCAGTGATTTAAGCAGCAGCACCGAGCACAGGTACAGGCAGGGCAGATAGGGAAGGATCTGGGGATGGAATCAAGAACTAATAATCAATAATCCAGCAAGGCTGGGAACTTGTCCATGGATTCCACAGCGTTTTCCAAGCATCCCCTGAGCTTATTTGGTTTGCATGACGCCTTTAAACTCCCCTGATTGGAGAATCCCTTTGTGGGATCACGGAATTGTTGGGGTTGGTGGAAGACCTCTGAGGTCAGCAAACCCAAACACAAACCCAGCACCAATCCATGTCCCCCAGTGCCACATCCCCACGGGTTTGGGGCACTTCCAGGGATGAGGATTCCACCACTGCCCTGGGCAGCCTGATCCAAGGTTTGACCGCCCAAATATCCAACCTGAATCTTGCCTGGCACAGCTTGAGGCTGTTCCCTCTCATCCTGTCCCTGTTCCCTGGGAGCAGAGCCTGATCCCATCTGGCTGCCTCCTCCCATCAGGGAATTCCAAAGAGGGAAAAGTTTCCCCCCTGAGCCTCCTTTTCTCCAGGCTGAGCCCCTTTCCCATCTCCCTCAGCTGCTCGTGGTGCTTCAGACCCTTCCCCAGCTCCGTTCCCTGCCCTGGATGTGCTCCAGCTGCTCCACATCCCTCTTGTCACACAAGTATCCCCAGGGATGGGGGTGGCCCAGCAGAGCCAGCACAGGGGACAGGCACTGCCCTGGCCCTGCTGCCACCCCAGAGCTGGCACAAGTCAGCTGCCACCGGCCTCTTTGCCCACCTGGGCACCCCCATCCATAGGGATCCATCCTGCACTGCCGGGATGTAAACACTGGGAACACCAGCGTGGAGCTCCCACTGACATTTTCCACCGACGTTCCCCACCTTCCTCCCGCACGCCGGATCCGTTGTCCCCTCCGCATTCCCGGCGGGGTTTGTGCCACCTCCCCGCCTCGTGTCCCCGCCCCGCCGTGCCACGCTGCGGTTGTCCCCCTGAGACGACGCTCCACACCCCCAGTGTCCCCTGGGATGTGTCCGCTCCTGCCCCACCGCGGCGACACCCCCTCCCCACGCCCTCCCTGGGGTCTCCGGTGTCATCCCGTGTCCTCTCACCTTCCTCCTCCCGCCTGCGGACGCCGCCTCCTCCTCTTCCTCCTTCCCCCCGTCCGCATCCCGTCGCTATGGCAACGCAGTGGAGGGGCGGTGCCAGCCAATCAGCTCCAGCCTCTTCCTCCCGCCCTCCCGCATCCCGTCTCCACGGCAACCCCGGGGGGCGCCAGCCAATCAGAGCCCCCCCAGCGGGGTTAGAGCGGCCGGGGGTTCCGATCTACCTAGCAACCATCCCAGCGCGCTCTGATTGGCTGAGCGGCGAAGAGTGGGCGGGGCGCAATGGCGCGGGAGGCGTGGCCACAGGAGGGGCGTGGCCGGGCGCTGCCGCCGCCGCCACCCGAGGGGCGCGCGCGGGACCGTGAGGGCGGCGGGAGCTGCGCAGGTAACGGGGACACGGCGGGGACACGGCGGAGCCCTCAGGGGCTCGTCCTGTCCGCTCCGGGCACAGGCGGCGGCGGGGCTTTGCGGCCGTGCAGCGGGGAGGCCCCGCAGCGCCCCGCGGCCGGCAGCGCAGCGCGGGGACGGGGGATGCCGGTGCTGCGCTCGGCGGGCGGGCCGGCGGAGGACGGAGGATGCCGGCCCTGAGCGCCGCGAACGGGCAGGATCCTCTCGCCGTGAGGCCGGGGATGCTGGCCAGGGCTCCCCGTGCCGTAGTGAGGTACGGCGGCCCCGAGGAGGGGATGGTGGAGTCTCACCGCCCTTCGCTGAGGGCTCGGAGATGCCGGAGCCTCACCGCCCTTCGCTGAGGGCTCGGGGGGGGGATGCCGGAGCCTCACCGTCCTTCGCTGAGGGCTCGGGGGATATCGGAGCCTCACCGCCCCTCGCTGAGGGCTCGGGGGATATCGGAGCCTCACCGCCCCTCGCTGAGGGCTCGGGGGATGGTGGAGCCTCACCGCCTTCACTGAGGGCTCTGGGGATGCCGGAGTCTCACCGCCCTTCGCTGAGGGCTCGGGGGATGCCGGAGCCTCAGCGCCCTTCGCAGATTCCCCATCGGGGATACCGGAGCCTCAGCGCCCCTCGCAGATTCCCCCATCGGGAGATGCCGGCGCTGCCCGTGCGCTCCCCGGAATCCTCCGGGAAGGCGGTGCGGGTGTTCCGGGCGTGGATCCGCTGCTCCCTGCGCTTCGGCCGTGCGGCAGCGATGCCAGGGCATGCACTTGTTCCTTGTGCCTTTCCAAAAGGGATGCTGGCTCAGCCGGCAGCCTGCCTGCTTCCCGTGCCAGGGAACAGCAGGATTTCCCTCTCCAGGCCCTTCCCATGGATTCGGAGCTCGCGGAGAGGTGACAGACCTGTCCCTCCATATCTGCTCATGGTGCAGGAATTAGGTGAGCTTCAGAGTCCTCTCTGACCATTCCGTGATTCCACAATAATCATGGAAAATCTCGCCAGGGTTGTCTCTGCCTCTCCATCCTCCCTCTGCTCCTAATTGAAATAGGGGATGTGGGGGATTATGGTGTGGCTGCCCCTCAAGACCGAGTGGAACAGCGCTGGAGTTTCATTCCCACTGAGTAATTAATTAGAATGGAGTTGGGAGAATAATTTATTCTCCTGTTGTGCCTTCGTGTGGGTGGGAAAGGGCTGGGGAAATGCAGTGAATGAGTTCATCTCCTTTCTCCAGGGTCAGAATTGGGTGGGGAATAGCTGAGAGGACATTTTCCTCTCCTCCAGGAGGAGTCTGGTTTGTTTTGTCTCCCCATTTCTCTGGGACAGATAACTGGGAATTAATCCCAGATACTGGGATTAATGAGTTTTTTCTTTTTCCTCGTTGATCCCTTAGGGACTTTGAAATTAACTTCTGAAAAAAAAATTCCTTGTGGGAATCAACACTTTCTCCTCGTGATTTTCACTGTTTATAATAATTGTCCGTGCATGTCTTAATTAATCCTTCCCAGCAAGAATTGGATGTGCTTCTCCTGCTGATAAATACTGTAAAAATCCACAACCACACGAACAAACTCCTCCCTTTGCCTGCGTTTTATTTCCAATGCTTGTGGTGAGAGGGGAGGCCTCCCCTCCTCTTTTTATCCCCGGTGTCATCAAAAGTGTTTTGTTTTTATATACATACAAAAATAACCACAAAATCTCCTATGCAGAGGCTTAACAAAGAGTGCACAAACTGGATCTGTGGTGAGGAACTCTCCTGACACTGAGGGTTGCTTATTACAGCACTTGTCTGTCTGCACCAATTAATGGATCATCCATAGGCTGGTTTGCAAAACCTGGAGCTCCTTTCGCAATGGAATCCTTCTCTTTTCTGCTTCATTTCACCCCGAATTGTTTCAGTTTTCCCAGGGCCAGGTTGTCTGTTTTGATGTGTTTTCCCACCTCCTGTTATATACATTCTTAATTTTCTTTATGATACTCTAATTATTATCTTGAACATGAAATGGAAAAGTCCCGAAGGGACACCATGAAATTTTTTTCTGCTTTTTGCATAGTTAAAACTTTTTTTATTCTTTTTTTTTTGGTGGCTCGTTGAATCTTTGTTTTTTGCATGTTTTCTTCAGCTTGAGGCTGTGGGGAAGGCGGAGGAGAGGTGGATGTGTTTGGATCCTGCTGTTTTGTGTGTCAATAATATGATTTCTATGGAGCATTCTTGGACTTTTTCCCCAAAACTCCACATCCTGACCTGGATTTGCCCAATTTTTGTGGTGCAGACTTTAACTGGTGTGAGCACAGCTCATCTTAGGTTGCTTCTGAACCCTTTTTTGTGAAGGTTTTTTTACAGATCACTGCAATTATGCCTCAATTACAGTGAAAACCTCGCTCATCCACACTGCAGGGGGACCTCACTCAAACTGAGGAATAAAATCCTTTGGGGATGGTTTAGGAGAAACAAAAAAAAAAAATTGTGAATCCAGAGTTCTGGAGATGCCAACAAACTCAAAAAGCTTTTTTTTTTTTTTTCCCTGAGTTTTGAGGAACTGTTATTAAAATGTTAAACCCAAGGGAATGGATTCCAGGGGGGATTGAGCACCTTGTCCAACACGGGATCACAGACTGGTTTGGGTTGGAAGGGACCATTTATTTATCCAATTATCCAATATTATCCAATCTTTCTGCCAGGGAACTTCACAAAACTGAGCAGGGATTGGTTTTATCTGTCTGATTTGTGACCTCCTGCTCAGGAGGTGGGGATGTGCAGGAAGGTCCAGGGCTGCTGATGCTGCCTGGCAGATGGGGCAGTTCAGCTCCTTGTCTCTTTCCAGAGCCGCCAAGTTATGGAAAAATCAATCTGAGAAATGACATTTCTTAAATCAGAGCTTTTCCAGCTCGTATCATCTGGAAATGGACCTAAAATCAGCTGGGTTTACATGGAAAATGTGTTAAATATTGTTAAATATTTCTAAACCCAGTGTGTTGACTCTTCACAGCAGCATTTCCTTCAGAACACATTTGAGGTTTGAGCTGTGTTTCTTCTCCCACCTCAGGTGTGTAGGTAGCTCTCTTTTTCCCTTTTTTATTTTTATTTTTGCTCATGTTTTGTTTTTCCTGACTCTGGAACTTTTCCTGTTTCTATTTTTTCCCTTCTTTTCACTGCTGCCTCAGCTACGGCTTCCCTGCCAATCCCTGTGAGAGGGAGAAGCAGCCTGTGAAAGCAAAGTTGCCAATAAACTGAATTTAACCTGGTTATCTTTAGCAAGCTTGGGGTTCTTTTTTTTTTTCCTCCCCCCTCTTTGAATGTTTGTTTTTAACCAGCCTGTCTCCAAAAATCTCCAGCCAAACCCTTTCCCCTCTCACAGAGGAGCCCAGAATTGTTTAGGTTGGAAGGAACCTCTGGAAATTATCCAGTCCAACCCACAAAGGCTTTGAAATCTTAATTTTTCTGACCATAAGATGGGCCTGTGTAAATAAAAATGTACATAACACATCTGGTAATTAAATTCTTCCTATCTCTCACCATTGGCAGAAATGAAAAGTTTTTCTGAGGAAAAGCTCCCTTCTCTCAAGATTGGGAATCTGTTCAGATTCGTGGCTGCCTGCTTTTGGGAATATTGATGGAATATTTGAGGTTTTCTAAATTTCTCTTCTTTTCTTAAATGATAATTCACTTTAAAGCAGCTGGTTAGAGACTGGATTTTGCAAATTTTACCATTGTAAGACAAAATTGTTGTGAAAAATGGGCTGTTTCGTACTCTGAGGGCTCTGTGGACTTTTCCCACCTCCAATTTCAGAGTTTGAAATGGATGAGCACAACCATTGTGCTGAGAAAACCCAGGTCCAGCCCTGAGGAGCGATTCCTATTTAAATTGTCTCCACAGGGAGAGCAGAACTGGCAGGGCAACCCTAAAATTTCCCTTTTTGGGGATTGTGTGGAGAAAAGGGGTGGCCAAAACACATTTTCTGGCTTCCCCTCAGCTGCTGGGGTGGTTTCTGGAGCAATTAAAATGGGTTTGGGACAACAACAACAACAAAAAAAAGCAGATTAAAATGCCATCTTTGAGCCCAGGTAGCCAAACCTCCCTGGGCAGGCCAGTGGCGAGCTGGGACTTGTGGGGTTGGTGGTGCTGGTGAATGTTTTTTTTTTTGTTTTTGTTTTATAATTATTCCTCAGGAGCTCTGAGGCCATGCAGGGAAGGAGATGCTATCGGTGTGAATGAGTCACAAACAGCCTGGTTTCAGTGTGGCCAAGCTAAATATTTCTAAAAACATTCTGTCACAACCAGTACCATCCCCACGTTTTCACCATTTTTGGGTGCTTTTCTTCCATTCAGTTCCTCCATTTTCCATCAAGTTCTTCCCTTCCATTCTTCCATCAGATTCTTCCATTCAGTTCCTCCATCTTCTGTTCTTTTCCTCCAGAAATTTTAAAAAAATCAGGATTAAAACTCGCAAGAGGAACCTTGTAGCCTTGCACAGGAGAACTTGAAGCGGAATCTGAGAGGTGAAATATTTAAATATTTCCCCGGATGACAAGGCTTTTTAACATGTTCTGTCTGTTGTGCTTTGTGCTCCAGGTTTTCCAGGAAAATAAAGAAGGAATCAGGAAGCCCCTGGAGCGCTGCCCCGTCACCATGGGGTCGGTGGTGTGGGAATGTGGTTGAAATTGCGATATTTAATTCCTGCCATGGAGGACTGAGAAAAAAAAGGGAAATAAAAGGGAAGATTTCTCTCCCATCTGTCTGGACTGAGCCAAGGATGTTGAACACACAAACTCTTCCAGCTGGGAAGAGGAACCTCAAGCAAGGCCTGGGAATATTCCTGTGAAAACCGCCAGGAGCTGGAAGATGTGCCGGCCGCGTTGGCGGGGTGGAAGGATGGCTTTGGGCTGGCTGCTGCGTTCCCTGTGGATTTTGGGGGTCTGGCTGGCCCCCACGGGAGGGCACAGCCTGTTCTCCTGCGAGCCCATCATCCTCAGGATGTGCCAGGACCTGCCCTACAACACCACCTTCATGCCCAACCTCCTCAACCACTACGACCAGCAAACAGCAGCTCTGGCAATGGAGGTAAACCTGTTTCTTTTCATTTTTTATTTCACAAATACATCTTTATCTACTTAATTTCGGCCTGTAGTTCACCAGCAGTTCATAAGTTTTCATGGGGGGGAAAAAAAAAATTATCAAGGTATTGAATAATTCAGATAAAACCCCAAATGCCATATTCTAACTAGTCAAAATATTCCATGACTACAGATTCTGCCTAATTTAATATCACTGAGTGAGAAATGCTCTGGGTGTGTTTGTTGTTTTAAATACCTCAAGTCTGATTTATACAAGACTTTTTCAGTCTATTTTCCATCCTAGCCAAGGAGTTTCCTCACTTGGTATTCTGTGATAAGACTAAAATGAATGGAAATTCAGAATATTAATCAAGTTCTTGCTCTCAACCTGTTCAAAATTCCGTGAGGGATTTGTGCAGATTTGGTTTATTTGTATTTTTTAAAGTACTTGGGAACCCCTGGGGGTAAATCTGTGAGAAATGAAAGAATAATGCTGTGTTTTCATCTTGGAATGCTCTTCCTTACAGCACAGAAACTGAATTTCACTGTTCTTGTTAAATAATACAAAGCTTTGGCTTCGTGTGGTTTGTCTGTAGAAGAGTTGGGGATTAAATGTGGTGGATTTCTTAAAATTGAGGTCCTTCCCCTGAAATTTGCTCTTTGGAGGAACTGTGGGCTTGGATTGCAGTGGCTCCTTTGGGTGGGTCTGCAGATTCTGATTATCCTGAACACAGAGCAAAAGGATTTTACTGTAAAACAGAGCAAAAGGAGTTAATTTTGTTGCAGAATTGGTTCTGGCAAATTCCGAGGCACAGAATTTCCCAGAGAAGCTGTGGCTGCACCTGGGAAGTGTCCCAAGGCAAGGTTGGAGTGCTCTGGGATCCTGGAAAATGTCGGGGTTGGAATGGGAATGGGATTTAAGGATCTTTCCCACCCAAACCATGCTGGAATTTAATGATTTCATTTATTTATCCTCTATCAACCTATTTTAAACCATTTTTCTGCTGGTTTCCTTCAACCCCCTCTTGGACTGTGGTGTAGTTTAAAACCCTCCTGAGGTTTTGGAAGGCTCAGTTTTATCCCCCAGGCTTTTCCTCTCCAACAGGAATCATTCCAGCTTTTCCCCTGCAGTGTCCTTCTCCAAGTGCTGGCCTTCCTTCCTGCAGTTTCGCTGCTTCATTCCTGGGATAATTTGAATTCCCTTCCCCTCTGCCTGTTTTTTTCCAAGCCTTATCCTTGTCCAGGGATAACACCCAGGGTGTGGACACCGTTTATTATTAAAATCCCACTTTTTTCCCTTACAATGGCCAACAATCCTGCTCATTCTTCAGCCTTTTTGTTGCACCTTAAACCTTTCAGAGAACTGTCAGAAACATTATTTTTACTTAAAAGCCATTTGCTGGAAGCAGAGGAATAATTCCCTGGAGCCCCAGCCTGAGGCAGAACAATCCCGGTGCAATTATCCCGATTTTTGTGGAAGCTTTCTGCCGCGGAGAGGGGAAGAGAGGAGGGCTGAGAGATGCAAAAAACTCGAGTTAAAAGCAGAAATTACCCTGCAGGAAATGCTGCAATTCACACCAAAGCCATTTTTAGGCTTAGCACGGGGTGGGTGGGTGGCGTGGGTGTGTTTAACACTCCCTTTTTGCCAATAAAATCAGCATTTAAGGCGGTAATTCCAGTCTGGGGTTGGATTATGGGCCACTTTTGAGAAAAGGTGCATGCTGTCGGGAAAACAAAGCTTTGTCAGGATTAAATTCTCTCCCACTTCAGAGTTTTGAGCAGCAAAAAGGCTGAAAATCCACATCTTTTCATAAATATATTCCCATTCCTTGTATTAACTTAGATTACACTTTAATATACACTTAAGAAGAGGAATTTTTTTCATTATTATTTGGCTTTTTAGGCGTTACTTAATGACTCAGTTGTTGTGGAGCACTCAAATGCTGGAGGCTGTTAAATGTTGCATTGTGGCATTTTTTGGGAACATCTCTGGTCCCCGAGCCCCCTCCCTGGTTGCTGTGAACCTAAAATAAAATAACAACAGAATCAGGGTGATTCATTTTGTGTACTGGAGGGAGGGCCTTGTAAATCTTTCCTTTCCAAAACCTCTTTTTTACAGCAGTTCCTGATTAAAAACAATCAAAAAACCAAGAAAAAACTCAGTTGGTTTGTACTGAAAGGGTGGAATAAAACAAAGAGTGGAGGTGAAGCAAAAATGAGAATTATTGTAGCTCTTGTCTTGCCATTAATAAATTCGGTGAGCTTCTCTCCCAATACTGCTGATTGCTTAAAAACTTATTTATTATTTCTTGAAAAAAAAAAGCCAAGATGCCTTTTTGAGACTTTAAGTGGGATAAAGGAGACATTAAAGCTCATCCTGGACAATCCCAGGTTGCTCCAGCCTGGCCTTGAACACTTCCAGGGATGGGGCAGCCACAGATTCTCTGGGAATTCTCTCCCCACCATCCCAGGGAAGGATTTTTTTTCCTAACAACCCCTCTGAATCTCCATCCTTTCAGCCTTGAATGCAGAATATTCCATCAGGGTCCCTCAGTGCCCTCTGGCCCCTGCTGGAATCAGCTCCTGCTCCTTGATTCACTCCTGGGAAAGAGAATTCCTTCAGCTTTGTGCTTTAATCTGGGAAGATTGGAGGGAGGGCTGCTGCATCCAGGGGTTTGGAGCATTATTTTATTCCCAAATATCCCTGAAGGATTTGGTGCTTTGGACAGAGGGCAAACACCAATCCAACCTGACTGAAATGAGAATTATTTTGCTTCTGCTGCAAAAAATTCTCCCTCTGCTGTTCTAGAAGCAGCAATAAACGAGTGGTGACTCCCCAGTGAGGAGGTGCTGGTGGCCAGGGCAGGAATTTCCCAGCTCCTGTGGAATTTCTGGGATGAGCTGTCCAGAGCTGGGAGCTGTCCAGGGAGGATCGCTCCTCCTTCCCTGTGCTGCTGTCACACCCAGCGTGCTCCGAGGTGTTTTATTTGCTGTAACCTGCTGACAGGCTGATTTTGGGCAATAGCCATCAGGAATAGCTGTTTTTTAGCAGTGCTGATGAAACTTCCAGATATTCCTGAGGATGTGGCAGCATCGGGATGGTGCTGCTCCCACGGCTCCATGTGTTCCATAAATCCTGGGCTGGTGGAGAAGTCAAATTACCCTTCTCCCCCACAGGGACCTGACCTCGTCTTCCCTTCTCTTTGGGTTATTATTGCTCCAAAGAATTATCTTCTGTCCCTTTCCCACTTAAAAATTCCTTCGGCCTTGAAGGATTTGCCGAGGCGTGCGAGCCAGCGGGGTTTATCTGCCTTAACGCGGTTTTTGTGGGCAAACATTTTGATCTGAAAACGTGGAATTTGGTGGCCTGGTGGAACCTGTGGCCATTCAGCTTTTGTCACTGATGAAGAAAAGCAGTTTAATTTGATGATTGCCTAACTTTTTTGAATTAAATAAGTTGTCGCCGCTTCTTTCTGCTCACCCTGATTTTTATGGGAGTGATGGTGGGGATCAAAGAGGCTTTAAAGGACAGGATCCAGACATGGTTAAGGGCTGAATCTGAGTTTCCTTTTGGGATTAAACTGGAGGTCAAAGGCTCTAAAAAGGAGCTGATGCAGTCACCATATGGCCAGGGAGATAATGGCTCTTCCTCTGCGCTCCATTCCCATTTTCCCTATAAAAAGAGAGCAGCAATTGGGACTCAGGGATGCAGTGGGGTTGGCCAGGAGAGATGGAAGAGGGGGAAACGGAGGGGCTGGATTATCCTGAAGTTGATTTGGGGTTTGCAGAGTGAGGGAAGAAGGTGGGAAGAACAAAGGAGCGGTGTCCACTCGTGTGCTGATCCCAGCAGGCAATCAGGGCATTGATGTAAATAAACCCTCCCAGTCAGGATTTTTGGAATATTTAGAAGTTAATTTGCCACGGAATATCCGACTACAGACGTGAGGACATCTGATTTTTCATACCCTAGCTCAGATTCAGTGGTTTCTTGCCTGTTTTGGTGCTCACAGAGGACAATTCCATCGACCTCCCACAGAGCTGCAAAGTCGGTGTGCCCTTGCCAGCCCTATTTTTGTCACCTTTGGAATCTTAATCCCTTTTTTCCACCTTTTTTTTTAATTAAAAAAGAACCAGAGTGTGTTTAAAATGGCATCAACAGAAGGCATAGCTATATTTACTCCCAGCCCAGCCTCAACATCTGGGATAAGAGGAATTTTTCCAGCAGAGGTCAGTCAGTTTTTTAAGTAGCTCATCACCTTATCCCAAATTTCACACTTCTCCTTGGCTTTCTGTGTTCCTCAGCTCCTCCTCCCAAGCTCCTGGAAGCTCAGGCACATAAAGCTAATGGAAAAGTGGGTTTTAATCAGCTGCTGTTTCGTAAGCACCCTGATCTTAGGCACTAATTTGCTGCAAGGATTAATTTTCTCGTTAGCGTGTACGACTGCGATCCCCTCAGAACAATGGAGATCACAGGGATGCGAACGGTGCTCCAGCTGATTAAAACCTTCCATTTCATTAATTTTATATTCTCTTATCTCCAGCTGGAATTTCTTTACCTTGGAAACAGCCACATGAAGCTTTTAGATTTGTTGGATTGCTAAAGCAAAGCTGGAATCGCAGAGGTGAGGGCAGAGCCAGGGAATTCCTGATAATGTCCTTGGGAATTCCTGCCCTAGGAATACCTGGGGCTGGTCTGTTTGAAATGCAGCAGCCTCTGTTTCAGGCTTGATCTGCAAAGTGTCATGCAAAGGTGAAATCCTTGGTGGGAAAGAACAACCTGGGAAGAACCGGAGCTGTTACATCCCCCAGCGGGTTTTGTACAAAAATGAGCGTGATCTGACAATTTTATAAAACGAGCTTGGAGCCTTGGATGGGCTCGTGTTAGAGCTGGAAAATTTTCCTTTTCACAGGAAAATCCAGCAGGCTCTGAGATAATCGGAGTGAATATTGCAAATTCCAAGAGCAGTGAATAATTCTGATTGTTTGGAGAGGAAGAGCGGCCACGGG